AATATAGATATTAGAAGCAATATAAATTTCAGAATAAAAGATTCCATATATTAATTATAGAACTGGGTAAGGTTATTTCATTAAATATACAGTACAATGATGCACATTCTCATGTTAGCTTTTTATTTTCTTTACTTTACGCATTTATTAAAATAAAGCTTTGTTCATGTCAGTTGCCTTTTAAATTGAATAAACTTCACATATTTTTTTGGCAATATTCATATATCCAGTGACTTTCAGTTCTTTCTCACTTTAAATGAATTCTAAACAGAAGCTTGATACACACAGCTAGAAATCTTGAATATTTCTAGATTCTACAGAAGAAAATTATTTGAAAAGATAACCATATTTCTCTTTTGATAGGAGTAATTGCTCATGTCAGTTTGGTAATATTCTGATTTGCTTTGTCCTGCTAGATCTGCATTCCATTTGGAATCAGACATTTAGCCATTGCCTTAGTCATAAATGGAAACATTCTGTTCCTCTTAGCTATCCAAATGTTAAATCCCAGTTCTTGTGGAAAGCAGTAAATAGGATACTAGAGGATTCAGAGACAGTTGAATTTTTTTAAAAAAACAGTATTGAAAATGCATTATGTGCTTAAATATATGTAGCATGTACATTCATAACTGGAGGCTTGAAAAACTATATGACTTCTATTTAAAGCATGACTTTCCGAAATATCAGTCTTGGAAAGTAGAGAGTTTACTGTGTAATCCTGACAAATATGACCTAACCCAGATTTGTCTCCCCAATGAGCAGCATATCAAAGTCAGTTTTATTCATCAAAACCCTATTTCAAAGACACTCATAAAACATTTTTCACGTAATTGTCATAAACGACAACAAAAGGCCTAGAAAGCCAAATGTTCAGCTCTTACTTTAGATTGAGTCAGTGGTGGGTTTCAAAATTTTTTACTACCAGTTCTGTGGGTGTGGCTTGGTGGGTGTGGCAGGGGAAGGATACTGTAAAATCTCCATTCCCACCCCACTCCAGAGGAAGGATACTGCAAAATCCCCATTTCCTCCCGATCAGCTGGGACTTGGGAGGCAGAGAATAGATGAGGGTGGGGCCAGTCAGAATTTTTACTATCGGTTTTCCGAACTATTCAAAATTTCAACTACCAGTTCTCCAGAACTGATCAGAACCTGCTGAACCCACCTCTGGATTGAGTAGAAAACCAAGTCTTCTGATTTCGAAGCTTTCTTTCTTTTCTTTCTGTTTTTTTTTGTTATGAGAGACAGGTATCCTTACAGTTTGTTTAGAAAAAAAAAGATCAGCTTTGATGCATAATATGAAAAGAAATCATGTCAAATGCCATTGTGTATAAACCTGACAAACTCAGAGTACAAGGGAGAAACAACATGTCACCAAGGCTTCATCGGAAACATTACACACTTCTGTTATCATATCTCCTTAGCAACATGCTATGGTTTGTTTAAGCTAGATAAATCTTTTAACATCTTGACATTGAAATATATCTTGGGAGCTGTTAAAAAATAGAAATTTAATTCTGCTTCATTTCAGAGATGGCATCTGCTTACTACAGCTGGCTTTGCCTGATGGCATTCTTTATCTAGAATTACAGGGACACAAGTAAAGCTACAGATTCCTTTCTATCCTCCTGCCAAACTGTGCTGTTTACCAAGTACAACAAGGTGATGCTATATTATTTAGATTTAAAGTCTAGTTTATACCCAAATCTCATGGCATGTAACAAATAGTGTTACCATGAAAGTCGGATGTCCACAAGAATAACAGAAAAATATCTAAAATAAATTCATTAATCAATTAGTGTCCTGTATCCAGTGGTGGGATTCAGTCAGTTCACACCACTTCGGGAGAACCGGTTGTTAACTTTCTGAGTAGTTTGGCAAACTGGTTTATGGAAGAAATCAGTAGGGCAGACAACCGGTTGTTAAATTACTTGAATCCCACCACTGCCTGTATCCCTTTGGATTGAAGCAAAAATTAGCTTCAGAATAAGTGGGAGTTATGTATGGGCACCTGTCTGCAATTTCTTACTCCCAAAGCATCTTTTCCCATAACCAGGCTGCAAAATTGCTAACTTTGGGAAAAACACATTTGTTTAAAAAGCTGTAGATTGCTATTACATTAATATCATTAAGCATTTTCAAGCATCCTTTAGTTTTCAGATCCAAAGCACTGAACAACCCTAATACATATTTCACAGGTTGTAACTCCAGGATCTATATTACTACACAAGTAGAACTAAGGTAATACAGTGAGTTAGCCATTTTTTACAAGTTTAACTGGTAGAAGTTTCTAAGCAGACAGTTTGCTTTCTATGAAACAATACACTTGTTGCTCTTGAAAAATCTAGAAAGCAAAAAATATTAAGAAAAGTTTCCATATTGGTTGGTAATATGAATTATTTTACTAAGTACAAATCAGTGTGATGACCAAACTGAAAGCAAAACAAAGCAACCCACAAATAGAAATCTAGGAAATAGTGTAATACGGGTGTGTCAAATTTGTGGTGTCACGGCGGCATCACGTTTGTATCAGGACTTTTTTCCCCTTTGCTAAACTGAGCATCAGTGTGGCCAGCGTGTGACGCATCCAGCCCACAGGCCGCAAGTTTAACAACCCTGGTCTAATATATTCTAGTTATCATTAATTACCATTAATTTGGTGACAGCTCCTAGTGACTGCATAATAAATTATATCTATGAGAATCTGTCCCTAACCATATCGTTCAGTCGTTCAGTGATGGCTAACCTTTTTCCCATCGTGTGCCAAAAGTGGGGGAGTGCAGGGAGGGGGCTCATGTGCATGTGTGCCCACACCCAAAATTCAATGTGCCCCCTGTGCGTCACTCCCCCGCACTTCCCCCGCTTTTGGCATGTGATGGCACGGTGGACCCGGTAGGCCTGTTTTTCGCCCTCCCCAGGCTCAGAGGCTTTCTTGGAGCTTGGGGAGGGAAAAAATGGCTTCCCCACCCCATGGAAACCCTCTGGAGGCCGGAACTGCCCATTTGCCAACTTCCTATGAGACTGGAAGGCCCATTTTTCACTCTCCCCAGGCTCCAGAGGCTTTCTTGGAGTCTGGGGAGGGGGAAAACAGCCTTCCCTGCACTACGGAGGCCGTTCGGAGGCTGGAAATGGCCCATTTGTCCCACTTCTGGTGGGACCGGAAGGTCTATTTTTCGCTCTCCCCAGGCTCCAGAGCCTTTCTAGGAGCCTGGGGAGGGCAAAAACAGCCTCCTCCCCCGGAGGTCCTCCAGAGGCCAGAAACAGCCTTTTCCCAACTTCCAGTGGACCCGGAAGGCCCAAAAATTAGCTGGCCAGCTAGCACATGCGTGCCGGAGCTGAGCTAGAGCAATGTTCACATGCCCACCGATATGGCTCCATGTGCCACAGGTGGCACGCGTGCCATAGGTTTGCCATCACGGGTCTAGTACTTTCCAACAGTACATCAATTTCCACTGTAATCTTATTGCTGTTGCCTTCTTCCACCTTTCCTAGCACTAGACACTTCTCCAGAGTACTAGTGTGTCTGAAGTATGATCATTTGAACATGGTCAATTATGTCTCAAGTGAGAATCTTCGCTTGAAAATATTCAATATTATTTTTCATATTACTAATTGTTCGTGGTATTCTCATGAGTCTTCTAGAAAAGTTTGGAAGAGTTGATAAACTTTCTATCCTGCTTTATCTAAGTCCAGTTTTCATTTCCATAGAGTGCCACAGGGAATATCATTACTTGAACGTTCTGATCTTTGTGGCTCTTGATACATCATAGCTTCTGAATATCTTACACAAAGATATAAAGGCTGCTCTAACAAGTTCTAGTCTGTGGCATGTGGTTGATTGTTTCTTTAGTCTTATTGGCTGTCCTAAAAGCTAAAAGCTACCTACCATTTCAGAAATTTCACTATTGATTCTAAGGCTTGTTGTAATATGTGCTTTCATTAATCTGTTGGGGTTTTTTATGTTTAATTTTAGTCTTTTTTTTATTTTACTGTGCTTATTAATTTATTATTAGATACAGTATTACTAGGAACTGACATGAAACTAATAAACATAGTTTTGCAATGTTTGTTTTGTTTCCTTTTTGCAATAATAGAGACCAGCTGTGTGATGAGGCTTTTCCGGAATGTGCTATTATTTCCAGATCAGCAATTTTCTTTTGACCTAAACTAAACTTTGGCCTATTCAGAGTAGAGGAAATGACTGCAAGGGAGATATTTCAAATTTTGTACTTTCGTGGTACCTTCCCTAAATCTCTTTATGTTGAGTGTTTTTAAAAATAAAAATGAAAATTTTAATATTGAAATATGAGCTCAAGACAGCTGCAAAAAAAGAGTTGATCAGTCATCAGTCATTAACTGTGTTATAGACATCTGGCTCTTAAAAAGAAAATCTAACTAACATAGCTTAACTTTAGAGAAGTTATAGCTATGTAACTAGCACATATAAATAACTATACATAAAGCACAAATCTTGATCACATTTCATTCAAAGGATTCCAAAACTGCATACACAAATATATTTGCTTTGTTATACTACCAGCCAATTAATTTATAAAGATCTAGGCAGTGATGGCTAACCTTTTTGCCATCACATGCCAGGAGTGGGGGGGAGGGTCATGCGCATGTGTGGCCACACCCATAATTTTATGCAACACCACCACCCCCGGCATGTGATGACATGGTTTTCTCTCTTACCAGCCTCAGAGCCCTTCTAGGAGCCTGGGGAGGGCGAAAACAGCCTTCCCCACCCCACCCCTCAGAGGCCCTCTGGAGGCCAGAAACAACTCGTTTGCCAACTTCCAGCTGGCTTGCCCACCAATATGGCTACGTGTGCCACCTGTGGTACACATGCCATAGGTTCGTCATCATGGATCTAGGGTATCCAAAGAGCTTAAATAAATAATCTTGACACCTACTAATAAATGCATTGTACAATAATGGCCTAGTCAACAGTATTTAGATAGTCCTTCAATATGGAATTCTTAAAGAAGATGGAAACTTACCTTAACTATTGTTGCAGACAACCTGCAGCAGGATATGGGTGTGGGTATGTTCTTCCCCTGGTTTTCCTAGATTTCTTGGGTGTATTTTGACCATAATAATGGAATCCTTTTAGACCAACTGCAAAAGTTGGGGTTTTGCAGTACTTCTGTTCCTTTTTGAGTGAAAAGCACCATTGATATTATTGTAAGAGTACAGTTCAAGACTTCGGACATTCAAATCTGAGATGACATCTACATGAAGTCACTAGGAAAGCTCATCAATTTATTTAGGTTTAAGTATCATCACTATGCTCAGATATTCAAAACTTTAGATCTCAGCCCAAGGCTGGGCAGGAACAAGATGAATGTCCTGATGTGATATTTGAAAATTGTGATGAGCTAGTTGGGAACAAACATACTGGAACTGAATTCCAGCAATATGTACTTACTGTTTGTATAGAAACTTTCTTGGTGTTTCATGGGTGTTTCATCTTTGTTCTTGACAAAAACACCAAAAAATCCAGCTTGATTCTAGATCTCAACTTCACATATAGGAACTCTCATTCTGTCATCAGCAGACAACAATTTTGGTCACCACCAAATTCTAACAGAATATGATTGCCACTCCTCCTTCCCGCAAACCATTTCTTGGCAGATTACAGACAGAACAACCCCTTGATCTTCATCCAGCTAGGTCTCAGTGATATATGCAAGCCAGCCCTCTCCTTCAGCACACTGTAATAAATGAGGAAATTTTAATTACATATGGATCTGCATTCAAGAAAACCAACTTGAGCCTAAGGTCTTCAGTAACTAGAACATTGAGTCAAGACTTGGGGCTAAAAGAAGGACAAAAATCAAATTCCATATCACTTTTCCTGTAGCAGCCTACTATCTACTTCTCTCTTCCTTCACTACAGCAATCTTCACCCTGCTCTTCAGACTCTGCCTCTAATCACCATACCTCTATTTTGTCTTATGGTATCTCCAGAACTACCCATTGTCTATTTGCAGTCCTAGTAACCAGCTGGAAACAGTCAGCCTTTATTATGTCACACTCACCTATAAGATTACCCTCCTTCCCCGACACACACATTCAGACAAATGCATTAACACATTTCAAGGCCTTTTACCCAGTAAAGTGATAGAGTTCACTATGGTCTGGCTCTGGAAATTCTTACTCTTAGCTTGTGTCATTCATTGGGCTTGGTTTCTACTCTTTGCCCTGCATCTCAGCCATGGGACAGAGGTATTCACACAAATGTAATTTTTCTACTGCCCCTTCCCTTCCTTTGAAACAGCCTTTAACCAGACAGATCTTGAGATGTTTTCTTGCATATCAGTCAAAAATGCATAGCCCCTTCCCCCCCTCTAAATTGAGGTGTAGAATCAATTCTATAAACAAACAAATATCAATTTCTCCCTCTTTTTGGGGCTCTTCCCTTTTCCTTCATCCAAATAATCTTTGCACTATCCTCATCCAATTCTTTTCCACACTCATTTTTTTCTTCAGTCTAACTACTTCTCTTCCAAATCTCACATTTCCTTCCCCAGTCTTTGATTTCCATCCATTCTCCTTATGTGAAAAAAGAGCTGCAAATGAGATTCTATTTTAAAACTAGTTATCCTCTCGATAAGCTGGGTAACCTTGATTCTTTTTTCTATAATTGTGATATTATTTCCCTACTGAGATTGGTAAAATATGCATCATTGCTAAGCATATTTTCTTAGAAATTCATTGAAGGTTTTCCATATGTATTTGTGCATAATAGCCCTACTACATCTGAGTTGCAAAAGTGCAGGTGACTATTAGATAGTCAAGTCTAGTTCTATTCTGTCAGCTATGGTTAAAACTAAAAACTAAGTTAAATTAAAACGTTGGGTAATCTATGTTGCATCTTTCTTGAAGCTGCTCTCCAGATGTATTGAAATTGAAAGTTCAAACATTTCTATGAATTTTGGGAGCATGCTCTATAGGTCACTAAATACTAAGAATCTATGTTTTTTTCAGACTTATTTATGGAAAAAAGTATCATTTAATTATATATTGACAGTAACCTAATGATCTAAAAATCAAATTGAGAGCAATTCATCATCTTAGAGTTTCAGCAGTAATAATAATTAACTCCACAAAAATGTACTGTTATAGCTAAAAGTGTAGTTTATTAAAAAGCATGTTAATCTGTTTGGTCCATATGGGGTTAATTTAATTCTGCAGGCTACCAGCTGAGACTAATCATGTCAAAGGCAAGGTTATATAAATCTCTTTGACCTAGAACTGGACATATGATGGAAGAATGGTTCAACTTTCTGTTTGGCGTTTTCAGGGTAGTAAGAGAACAGCTCTTTGGGGACTGCTAACTCTATCTTAAATTACCAGATGTCCCTTATTTTAAGGCGATCTCCACTTTCCAGAGAAATTTGTACATATTCCTTATTTCTTCATGCATCTTAGAAATGAACTGGCAGTTCCTCTACAAATGAGATTTATTCTCATTTTATTCATTTTACCAGTATTGTTATACTCAGTTTCCTTTATTCCACGCATATAGGATCCAGGTGCTATTTGGATTATGTTGACTGGGTCTGAAAAAGCTGCAGGACAACATCTGGAAGACCATATGTTCTCAGTTCAATGTTGACTCAAATTTAAAAGTTCATGAACTAAGGAAATGTGTCTTTGTGGTAAAATACGTAAATGATAATAACAAAAAGTGGCCTACTTTTATCTGTTTTCCAAAACTGAAGGAAGTAAATATCAGTTGTTGTTTTTATTTGTTGGTAAAATAAAAAGATACTCTTCAATTTCCTAGTCATTAGCTATTTAGTAAATCAAGTCTTAAAAAGAAATGAAGTTAATCAGGAAACCATATCAATTACAATTGAATGGGAAAACAAAATATATTTTCACATAATATGTACATAAGAGATAATGTTATCTTGATTAAAGAAATATACATGCATCTTAGAAAACGAACACATACATAAAGTAAATAAAACATTTATTAACTAAGAAAATGCACAGAAAAAGAATAAGCCAACCCCTGCAATGATCCATTTTAAAAACACAACATAAATATTAATTAAACAATATTTTGTTCAGCTGACTGCTTCCTAAAGAATTTCAATGCCAGCTGACACAGAGCTGCTTATGTTTAACAGGCTTTAGAAAAAAAGTTAGAAGCATCCAAATTAACACTATAACATGCAGGAAAATGTTTAAAAGTTAGCAAGGAATGTACATCTGATTTAGATGTTTTTAATTGCTAAACTGTGAATATCAATTTTCTTTCAAAATTACTGTCTTAAAATCCTTAGTAATTGATCTTAGTGATTTTTGACTAGGGAAATTATATCAGTTGATCAATATTGCAGAGATTACAAATCATATCAGTCCAATTCAGCTAAGTAAATGTCTTAGGTGATGGGTGTCGGAAGTAGTCAATTTTATTCTATTTGTCATTGATTGGTAATGCACCATCAAGCTTGTATCAATTCTTAGTGACCATAATGACCATAGCTGATGTCTGCTTTGAAATCCATTAACCAACATAAAATATATCAAACGAAAAGTATTCTTCATGAGGACTGGCAATATATTCTAAGTATTGGAGCTGTGAGGGCCTCATTGTTGTTAGTGATGCTACAGTTGTTTTGGGATTGCACCCATTGCACCTATTACTATTGGAACTGTCTTTGCTTTTTTTCTCCACATTCTATTTATTATGCTTTATAACACACTCATAAAAACTTTTTCTCCTAACAAGATGACTTACCATCTAAGGCAGCGGCCCCCAACCTTTTGGGTCCCATGAACCAGTTTCATGGAGAGAGGTTTTTCTGCAGACTGGAAGGGACATGGTTTTGCATGCTGCCTGCATGCTGCAGATGGGGCTTCACTTGTTTGCACGGCCCAGTGCTGGTCCACGAACCGGGGATTGGGGACCCCTGATCTAATGTACTGGAAAGAAGATACAACCATGTCCCTGTTTCAGAAAGCATACATCCATGACATGAACCAATTCTCCATGTACCTTTTTCATGAGACTAGGTGATGATCCCTTCACTGAAGAAGAGCTAATATATTTTGTACTAGAGGATTTATCTTTTTATTTCTCATTAAATGTTATGAGAAATAAAATATTCTATTATATAAAAATACATAAATATGTATTTTTTAAAACCCGATTCCTTTGTTAATCAGAATAGCAAGCACCCATATTATAAACATATTTACTTTTTTTTGATAAGAGCAGAATAAAGATGACAAATAAAGATGACCTCTGAGTCACAGCTTTACTGACTCAGTTTCCTTAGTTTCCTATTCATTTCAGAGATGTATTGTAGCTCTAGGCATGAGTTTTCTCTGAATTTATGTGCATCAAATGGTGTCTTGTACAGACAAAAATCAGCAAGTTGATTTTTCCACAACAGCCTGCCATATTACGTAGCTGTTGGCTTAATCGCTTAAATAGTTCCTGTAGACTCATATGCCATGATGATTACATTTGGTAAAGAAAAACCGAGTGCCTATAGACCTTTATGCTCAGTGCCAAGATATGTAAAATTTGTGGTCTTGGTGTTGCAATTTTGTATTATTCAATTGACAATAAAAGATGGCAAATATTAAAACTTTTTTTTAAAAGGATGAACTAACCAAAATAAAATGGCTTAATCAAATAACACAAACACAACTTGATTGACAAGATAGGTAAACCTTCGCCATAAATGCAATCTGCACATAGCAACCATAGCCTTTGGCAATTTTCAATTTTGAAAAAGGCCAAGAATAATGTTCTGGCACTGATCGTGTATGAACTGAGCCTTCAGCTCTGAAATCTGCTGTAACTGCTTCCCAATTGCCCCTGGTGATTCAAGCAATGGGTTGGAGTTATATCACAGGCTTTTACTTTTTCACAAAGAAAAAATGTGCTAGTATAAACAACTGCAAAACCTGAATATGAATGAAAGTCTTTAGGGGATTTTAGCATAAGTCTTCTGATTTAGTTTCCTTTTATTCATAGGGCTAAGGAATAGGCCCAGGTCTTTTTAAATGGTTCCATTCATTGAGACAAATATAGCACCTAAAATTAATAGACTTTAGCAATTTCTTAAATATTCAGTATCATCCTCTGCTAAGCCAAAGCCATACTTTAATTAAATTATAGAGCAATACTATTTAATGGTGGTATTAATATAAGTAATTGATCAGGCAATTTTAAGAATTGTAACTTAATGAATGCTGACTGAGATCATTGTCTGCTATTAAATATCTAGACTGGCCTTTTGTTTACGATTATATGAGGTAGTATTCATCATAAAAAGAAAGATAAAAATGATAGAACAGTCATGCTAATAATTGTTGCTTCTAAAAGAAAAGTAATGTAAATGTAAATGTCTTTTATTCATTTCTTCTTGGAAGGCTTTTGGACCCTCAAACCTAACCTTATGGCTAGTTACTATATAGTTTTAGCAACAGGCAAGGAAAAAGTTGGAAGAGAGAATATAGTATAATATAAACAACTGCAAAGTCTGACATGAATGAATCTTAAGTGGTCTGCTATCTCAGGTATGGTCCTACTCTTACAGTCATGTACGTTTCAACAGCTATTCTGCTGGTCATGTTGACCCAGATTATTCTTTGCTATTAAAACCAGGTTTGGGTAAATGCTGATAATTTTCTTCATTACCTTTGAAGTATATTTTTAAAAAGTAATAATAATCTATGGTAAATAATGCTACCACATTTTTACCTCATTGGTTGCCAGTTTTACTGTGAGGCTTTATGGTTTTGAAAGTATCTTGAGCACAGCATGAGACAGAAATTTGTATAAAGATATAATTAGTAGGTGGTATAAGTAGGAAAAAGGAAGGTTCCATATTTCTTGAAATGATATCAATTTAGTATTGGGCAATTTATTTTTATAAATCAAATTCACCTACT